CCCTTCGGAGCAATTCGTACTGATGGTACAGGTTCCGCAGCGTTTTTTAAGGTGCAGGGTTCAAGCTTTGTGGTTGTCTTCGCCAAAGGGTCCAAGTACTCCCTATTAACTTTAAGGCCTTTTTAGGTACCAAAAGCCATAATAGTGACTACTTGGAGCCTTACGGTCCGGGTTTTCATAATTTGGGATTTCGCGTTTGGGGTTTCGGCCTTGAGGGCTTGCAGAGTGCGGAGCTGCTGGGCATGTTAGGAAGCAAGGCTTTTGGAGCCTACAGCAGAAGCCTATAAGTTGGAAGCCCGATAGCCTCAATCCCTAAGAGCAAAGCTTAGGGAATCCCAGCACGATTTGTCCTTAATTAGGTTTCCAACTTTTTGGAGTTTACTATAGGGTAATATAGGCCCCTGATCGATGTACACCCTGCTTCTTTTTTAAAGATTATATCAGGGATCGAACTACAAAAGGCCCTTAAGAAAGGAGCGGCTAGAGTCTAAGAACCAGGGGTCTAAACCCCAATGGTGGCTTGTTGAGGGCTCGGCACTACGGTTGATGATCTAAATCCTGCATTACCCATACTGAGGAATATACCATAATTCCCATAGTCTAGTGTCCTGAAGGTAATGCCGGATTTATATCATAAGCCCTAAACCCTAAACCCTCAAAGATCCCTTAAAGGTACCCTTGTAGATCCCAAGAAAGGAGCCCTAGGGTTTATATCACCAACCATATGGGTCTCAGAAAACTGGGGCGCCGGACCGGATGCACAGCCAAAACCGCTGAATGCGCATCTTGGCAAGCAGCAGAAGTCTTTACAGAAAGTAGTCCGTGCACCTAAAAGGGGCTCCTTCATATCACAAGTTCTATACGGGTTGTCATGGGGTTTTATTCCCGCTTTACAGCATTTGTGTGGGTTTTCGAATAGGGTATGTACATACTTACGCTCGAAAAGCATTCAGTACGAGTTACTTGAAGATCAGTATATATGTACCACATAGGGCCCAGCTACCCGTAAAAATCGTGTACTATACTAGGGAGTTTGTGGAGACCGAAACTTAAAAGACTGGGCTTGCACGGTTGAGACTGTTGAAACTCTACAATTAAACAACTTGCCCTATAGGTATCAAAACAGCGCAAAAGCCTGATATAGTATGCTCGTTGGGCCCAAAAGCCTTAATATATGAGTCCTCAGACCCGGTCGCAACAGTCATGGCAAGTCTAGCCATATTGCGAGCCCTGCTTCTGCTAGCCTTAACCCGCACACCTTAAGCTCCAAGCCCTCAACCCAAAACCTCTAGCCTGAAATTGTAGAGTGTAAGATTTAAGGGTTACCTTAGATCTACCTTTTTTCGACATTTATGAGGAGATCACAATAAGGAACCCTAAACAGGTACGTTATTCAGGGCTAAGGTAAGGGGTGAACATCACAAACACCCTCAGCTCCGCAGGGTGCGAAGCTTCCTCCGCAAACCCGACTCCCCAGAGATTAGCGCACACTGCATGCTTCCACCTCGACAGTGCGGTTGATGATATAAATCCTGCATTACCCATAATAAGGAATATACCATAATTCCCATAGTTTAGGGTCCTTAAGGTATTGCAGGATTTATACCATCAACAGTAGCACTGGAAGTTTAGGGTTTGGGGTCCTATAGGAATCCTCATAGTCTCGATACGGTAGTTTCCGAAATTAGGGGACCTTATTTTTGGGGTCCTTACGATAAGGATCGTACTAATGATTTGGGTTGCTATGTTCGGGTCCCCTATTTTCGGAAACCCACAAACAGCTGGACCAGAAAACGCTCAAACCATGTATACTAATGACCGTGAGGATAAGGCTGATCATACGAAAGCTCAGCTAATTAGTGTGCCTGTATATACTACTCCTCAAGGCCCTAAACCCCTAAACCCTAAACCCTAAACCCTAACCCCTAAACCCCAAACCCTAACCCCAAACCCTTTACGCCCTAAACCCTAAATTCTTATGGGTCCCTGTTGAAGGAACCCTAGGCCCTGGGTTTCTGAGGAAGCCCTACCTTAACCTACCAAATCCTACTTTTTTGTAGGTTCTTCTGATTCACCCTAATATGCAAAAAAGAGGGACCCTACTTCTTTGTAGGTTTTCGTAGCTTAAGGTAGACCCCAGACCCCACAACATCGGCAGCCTGTTTCTCTCCTGTCGAAGGGGGATGCGGCTCCCAGAAGCAAAAGCTGTCGTTGATCCGATGCTGGGAAGCTCTGCCAGATTAAGGATTCTTAACTAGGATACCCAGTAACCTAAGAACAAAAAGGCCTCTCTTTTTGGTATTGGGTAACTTTATAAGGAACCTAGGACTACAAAAAGGGAATAAGGGTACTACTGGGCATCCTAGTTACATTTGGCTTATAGGGAGCGCGCAGCTACATGCAAACAGGGCCTTTAAACTTTGAAGGGTGTTAGTAAAGTATATGTAAAGCAGGGCTTGAACTCTCTTCTTCAACAACCGGGCCCCCAAAAGTTCAAACTTTCTAGGATAGAGCGAATATATATGGCCAAAAAGTTTTAAGTTCCCCCGTTCACTATCTAAGTGGAGCTTTCAGGTGTAAGAATACAAGGCGTTAATACAGGGGCCTTATACTTATTAAAACAAGGTTTTGGGGTACAGTCTTCTATAGCTAGAAGAAGGAACCCGCAAAACCCATGCTAGTTATTAAGGACCTATATTAGACCCGAAGGGTTCCGGCTTAAGGTTTGAGAACGGTGTGCAGAGCCGAAACTTCTCCTCCAGAGGGTTCATATGGGAGTTTCCGAAAACAGGGGACCCTAATATAGTACCCTAAATAGTAGGATCCTTATAATAAGGAACCCAAATAAGGTACCCCTAATTTGCGGAAACTCCCATATGACTTCAGAGCAAAGTAGACTGTTCCTTCTGCATACAACAGCATTCTGCTCATTTAAATTCAAGTCTTCAAGCGGGTTCAGAGCTTGTGTATGATAGGGCATAAGGTTCGGGTGAGGTTGGGTTCAGAATATGGGTATTACTCTCTGGGCATGAAGCTGCGAATGCACTGTGTCGTGATATAAGGTTGGAAGTTTAATTTGCGGCTTAGGTTGAGTCCAAATTGTCACGGGTCGCCCATCGACGTCTTTACACGCAAGGGCCCAGCACACGCAGCCATGGTTACCGGTGCAGCTAATTCTGCTGCAATCTGGGCTGCTAACTGGGTGGTTGTCAGAATTATGGTCCTTTTTTGGGTCCTTATTATAATACGGCACCTATGAATTAGGGTACCCAAAAAGGGACCCTAATTTTGACAACCACCCAACTCAATCACCAAGCTGTCGTGCATATTTGCAAGCTGCTTCGGTGAGTAGCGAGACTGGGAAGATAATGCCATCGTGCACTTCAGCCGACGGGCTTGAGGAAAATTTCAGACTCCACGGCCAATAACCGGATCGTTGCAATCATGTGGAAGACAGCATAAATATTCACCCGTGCTTACAGAAATCTTATGCTTCACGGCTCCGATTCTCTTCCCCATATTATATATATATATATAGATGTATATATACATATATACAGAGAGAGAGGGAGAGGGGAAGTGTATGCTGCGGGGCGTAAGCCTTGAGCTTGGCATGGATGCTGACCCTATCTTTGGCCACTGCAGGATAGCAGGACGTGGCTCTGTATGATGTTAGCCCAGAGCTTCCGGCAACCGATGACTAAAGCCGGACGTATCGGCCCAAAACAAACGCCCGGCAAGGCTTTCACCCTAATTTTTCAGACCTGCAACCCTGAACACCGACCACTACTTCTCCGGGTCCAAAACACTGAAATCTAAATGCTTGGCGTGTTCTAGGGCTTTAAGGCTTTGAGCTTCGGTCTGAGCATGTGGACCAAAAAACACAGTGAATGGCCGAAGTGATGCTCTTGAAGAGCACCTGGTGCAAGTGGACCGGCCTCCGCCTTAGAGACTGCTCACCAGGGCCAACTTTTTTCTACGGGGATCAAAACAGCCCAAAAGCCTTATAAAGTATGGTCTTTGGGCCCAAAAGCCTTAACATATGAGCCCTAGAGGTCGGGGACTGCAGGTATTGGAGATTGGCGGTTCGGATGACGGACTTCAGATTGGGTCACGTGCCTTTTTAAGCTGCGTCGAACGACTTGTTTGGTCCTTTCCCCAAGGGTCCAAGTACCCAATAATCATACACTCCCCAAAATCCTAACCTACATAACTACCATCCTAAACCGAGTACCTAATTATTGGGTCCTTTGGACCCTTGAGGTTTATTTCGGAGCAGGTTCGGGTTTTTGGGTTGCGTGGCTTCGCAGCTGTCGTAGTTTGGGGTTTATAGGGAGAAGCAACCTCCCAACTCGTCAAAGTCTATTGAGTCTACTGGCTTCTTAGGAATTTTAAAATTCTTTCTTTTCTATATGAACTATAGTAAGGAGGCTAAAAGTTTAACCTTTAGGAGGGGTTCAGAAGTCAGCCAAGATTCTTCATGGTAGGTTACAGGTTCTAGGCGCCTTAAACAAAAAGCTCTAGCTGCACAGAGGAAGTGCGCAGGATTGAAGGCCAATCTATTCCAAAAGTAGATGCAGCCAACCCCCAAAACCTCTAAACCGCAAAAACCCAAACCGTAAACCATTCAACCCTAAACCCCAAAACTGAAGTCGTAAACCCTTCCGAAAAACACAAATTCTAAACCCCAAATCCCAAAGACACCAATATCCCCAAAACTGAAGCCGTAAACCCTAAACCCTGAACCCTCTAACCCTAAGCTCTACAACCCCAAACCCCTAAACCCGAAACCCCAAAACTGAAGCCGTAAACCCTAAACCCAAAGCCCTAAACCCTATAACCCTAAACCCCCATACCCCTAGACCCAAAACCCCAAACCTCAAGCCGTAAACCCTAAACCCAAAGCCCTAAACCCTATAATCCTAAACCCCCATACCCCTAAACCCAAAACCCCAAAACTGAAGCCGTAAACCCTGAAGCAAAAAGGCAACAGGCCCGCCTCAGTCGGCCTTTTTCTGCTCCTCGGTCTTCACCTTTGTCCGGTTCCACAGTAACCCCCAACGAAGGATGTCGGCCAAAGTACGGCTTAGGGCTTAGGGTTTTCGAATTTAGGGTTTAGGGTCTCTGGGTGTGGGTTGAGGGCTTTGGGTTTAGGGTCTTTGAACTAAGGTTCCGGGTCTGGGGTTGTAGGGTTGAGGGCTTTGGGTTTCGGGTTCTTGAAATGGAGGTTAAGGGTCATAGGGCTTAGGGCCAGGTGTAGGAAATAGGGTTTAGGGGTATCAAAAGATACTAAATCAAATTAAAGGTCATTACCGGGGGACCCAAAGCCTTCAAAGCCCTCAAAGGCACCCTTAACGGAACCCCAAAAGGAACCCCTGAACTGAGGGTTTAGGGTTTGACAAGGAACCCTCAAGTGATGGGAGGCCAAAAGGGGGGGGTTTAAGATTCTTGGGGTAGGGATTCCTTAATATGAACCTTATTATGGGAACCCGAATCCCTACTAAACCCTCATAGGCTAAAAACCCCTTTTGGCCTCCTATGATCAAGGCAAGCCACCTCAGGTTCTTTCTCGGCCTCCTTTTCCGGCTCCTTCTCATCCTTTGGCGCAGCTGTGCGGTTTCTCGAAGACTCTACAACATCGACGGATAGGGCTCTGGATTTAGGGAAGCTTTGGGCATGGCTCGGGATTCTGTAAGTCGAGCTTGCACGGGCCATATGATTGATGCAGGTTCCATGTTTTTTAGGTCTTTGCGGGTTGCATCACATGTTTCGGAGAGTTTCATCGGTTTTTACGGAGCCCTCTCGAAGGGTTCTGAATGGTGTTTTGACAATAAACCCCGAACGACGAGCCGAAAACCTGCGACCCTAGCCTTTCGAAGCTCTATACTGAACTTAGAACCCTAGCAAAAATTATAATTTTAGCTGTTTCTTAGGGATTATAATAACCAAAAATTTTAAAAAATATATTTCTAAGTACCCCTAAGAAAAAAATCTACATCCCAAAGCCCTGCTCCTCTGCTTGGAGGCCCAGTGCGGAAAAGCTCTACTTACAACCTACTTACCATAAGTAGGGTTACAAGGGCTCTTAAAGGGTTCCTTTAAGGGGTCTATAGGGTTTAGGGATGTTTAGGGTATAAGTAGGGTTATGATTGGGATAACTCCATTTGGGGTACTTATAACTCCACTTATAACCTAGTAACTGAGTCCTGGGCCTCTGAGTGGGTGAATGTCGAGCCCGGTGCCGGGGAGCAAAGAACCTACATGCTGAACCTCAGCGCTAGCTTCACCAGCCCGACTGTCCCATCTCAACTAGTCCATAAACCCTTACCCCTAAGCCCGATAGTGTGTCTCGCCAAGAGTCGAAACCCCACGATTTCCAAACTTAGCCATTAACCCAAGCCACACTAAACTAAACCCTAAACACCCCATGCTGCTAAATCGATCGAAACTCACGGCTGTACACGACATAGAACCCTAAACCCTGAGAAGGCCTTAAAGTTGGAAAGCTCCGTCTTGGTTGAAGACAACTCCTTGCTCGCGCTTTGATGGGTTTGTGAGGGCTTCAGGGGTTTAGGATTTTTGTGTGATGGGTTATGGATAAGGTGACTTGTTTCGTTGATTTTCGGGAAAATGCTGCTGCTTCTTTTGAAAACGCTGTAATGGATGAGCAACTAGGCGGCAAAAAGCATCCCAAGATATCGCTCTTGTTCGCTTTGTGGTTGAGTTCTATCCCAAAACCCTTTGCTTGGCACGACGGACTTCGCTTTGGAGGGCCGAGGGCGCTTTCTGGTGTAGAGATGTCAATTCTTCAGAGTATACCTGGCAAACCAATTAATACGGCTGATGATATAAATCCTGCACATTTCCCATAATAAGGAATATATGGGAATTATGGTATATTCCTTGTTATGAATTATGGGTCATGCAGGATTTATATCATCAACCGTAACCCATAGGGGCTATAGTTAAGTTATACATACCCCATGGCCCGATAAAGTCTCTGAAAACGGTCGTAAACTATGCTGCCTCACCGTGACCATTTTGTTGAACAAGTGTTGCCTGACTTCTGGCTGCATGGCTTCAAAACGACTTGCTAGCTCCTAGCTATGCCAGTCAGTACAAGAGGTTTTTATGCTGTCACGGCCTTTCTGAGTTGCCTCTACCATCCTGCGGAGGATGTGGGGAACCGACAAGCGCACTTTACATGACCTGGTCAGAGCAGGAATTAATCCACGGGAATGATATTATACTACTATAGTGTTCCCGAGTGAGGACTGGGTGGAGGAGTCTGAGGGAGAATTGGTTTTCAAGAGCACCACAGGAGCGCGACAGACTTTCGTCCTACTGCAGTAATCTACGAACCTTACAACGGGCTGGGGATCTGTTGTGCTAGGTTTATGATTCTAGACATTGATGTTGAACCTACAAGGTTTATGGTGTAGGCTTAGGTGTAGGGCTTACTATTATTAGAGATCCTTGCAGGCAGTTCTTCAAAGCTTTGTCTAAGCCACACGCAACGACCTGCCAAACTCTGAACTCCCAAACCCCAACCCCGAAACACTAAGGCCTCAGAGCCCTACACCCTGCATCGTGAGTCCTCCTTAAGCTTCTTGATCTCCTCGGCGCTAAACCCTCAACCCTAAACCCTAAACCCCAAAACCTAAACCCTAAACCCTAAACCCCAAAACCCTAAACCCTAAACCCTAAAACCCCAAAACCCCTAAACCCTAAACCCTAAACCGAGGGTTCGAAGGGCTCAGGAGTTTGGCTGGTTTCGGCTCCTGATCTTCGGATCATTGGGGTGTTGAGGGTTTTGGGGTTTTGGGTTTAGGTGGTAGGGTGTTGAGGGTTTTGGGGTTGAGGGTTTAGGTTGTAGGGTTTTGGGGTTTTTGGGTTGAGGGTTTAGGTGGTAGGGTTTAGGGTTTTTGGGTTTAGGGTTGTAGGTTGTAGGGTTTAGGGTTTTTGGGTTTAGGGTTGTAGGTTTTAGGGCTTAGGGTTTTTGGGTTTAGGGTTGTAGGGTTTGGGGTTTAGGGCTTTAGGATTCAGGGTTTCGGGCTTTAGGAACCCCCAAGTGCCCTTTAATAGAGCCCTTGTGGTATTAGGGTTTAGGGCAACCCCGTAAGATACCAAAGATCTTCTTCAAACTCTTCTGAAACCCTTGAAGGAGCTTTCCAGAACCCTCATTGTGAGTATAGCGGCCTTCATACATAGAGCAGGGTTGCAAGGTCTATTGCAGTAACACTGCACGAAGAAACCCCTAGCGCATAGTGTTGGTAATGACTCCGAGCCCTATATGGGAGTTTCTGAAAATAGGGGACCCTAATATAGTACCTTAAACAGTAGGATCCTTATTATAAGGACCCCAAAATAAGGACCCCAAATTTTCGGAAACTCCCGTATAGTTGGATTCTTTGGGCTCTTCAGGTTGCGGCTCGCAAGAGGAGCACGAAGAAGAACGGCTCATTAAAGGTTTACCTGTATCCCCAAACCCTACAAAAACAGTAGGTTATGACCCCTTAATTTGATGGTATACGCCTTACTTAGTTGCTGAGTTCATGAGCCCCCGAAATTGCACACTTTTAGTTTCAGATTGGGAAAGACCGAAAAAAGTGTAAAGTGTATCCACTCAGCTACTAAATCTCAAACCAATAGGTTTTTGGATTTCCAGGTAAGGTTTAGGGCTTGCGGCCTAAAGTTTAGGGTTGGCTGCTCTTGCATGGAGGGGAGCTCTTCTCAACTCTTCTACGTTACAAATCCCTGGTCTAGGGCCGACCCTAAGAAACCTGCCTTTCCAAGGGTCCAAAGGAGCCAATAATTGGCTACGCGGCTATTTAGGATAGCAGTTATGTAGGTTAGGGTTTCGGCGAGTATATGATTATCAGGTACTTGGACCCTTGGGGTACCTTTCTACGGACTTCTTCGTCCAGATTTCCGGGAGGATCTAGAAAGTAGATCCCCTAATTTGGGGCCCTATACTACGAAGGGTACTTTACAGGAACCTCCATTAATGGATCTACTTTTTGGATGCTTGGAAGGGCAGGGGACTTAGTAAGTAGGTTACAAGTAGAGTTATAAGTAACCTAAATGGAGTTACCCCAATTATAACCCTACTTGTAACCTAGTTGCTAAGTCCCCTGCCCATCCAAGTAAGTAAACCAATGGACCCTCAACCCCAAACCTCGGACCTCGACTCACCAGGGCCCAAAAACGATCGCCCCTTACCGGATCCTTAGCCCTAAACCCTAAACCCTAAACCCTTATAAACCCTAAAACCCTAAACCTAAACCCTAAAACCCTAAACCTAAACCCTAAACCGTAAATCCTAAACCCATTGAACCCGCCGATCTGTCAAGACTCCGTGAACGCCCTTCTGCGACCATATTGAGACCCTGCCAAGCCCTCATTCAATGGACTGCCCACGACACAAAGCTATTGATGCCTGCTGATGCCACTTCATGAAACATATCAACATACCTAGATCCACTCCGTAGTTAGAACACCAAAGCTGTTGCGCACCAGAAAAAGCACCTGAAGCCCTGCCGTAACCCTGCACCCTACCCCCTGGAACATCCGATCCTCGTCTTTCTCAGCCTGCTCAAAGCAGGATCAAGTTCGGATTAGCTTCAGGAGCGGCACCCAGAAATTGAAAGGAGGCGGCGGAGGTGGCGGGGAAAGGGAAGGAGGGTGGGGTATTCAATGTTTTTATAGCGCCTCGGTAGTTCCCCAAACTCTTTTGGGGGGGTTCCTTACTATAGTGATAATATAGGATACGCCACAAAACCATGCTTGTTTGCCTACGACCCCTATATTAGGGGCTACAAGTGAATACAACAAGGATCCTAGTATTGCAGGTCGGCGTTGGGGTCCCCCCTCCCCAGAAGCCACTACTCAGATCGGAGAACGCAAGAGCCACAAGAGACCCACCCGAAAGAACAGCCAGCACATCCTAAGTATTTTATTAAGACCCTGACACCTCTGTTGCAGACTTTGTGTGCCGTCAGTTTGCTTGAAATCCAGCGTTCCACCTTCAAGTCCAAAGCACTTGGAGGGTCGGGGGACTTAGTAAGTAGGTAGTAAGTATAAGTACCCTAAAAGGGACCCTAATTGGGGTTATGGTACTTACAAGTCCTTAAAATAACCAGTTACTAAGTCCCCCGACCCTCCAAGTACAGTTTAGGGGTCAGGTCCTGGGTACTATGATTCCTGTCCTTGGACGGCTAAATTGGAGCACGGCGATGCTGGTGGTATTGAAGACCCCATCAGGTCGTAAGCCCCAAACCTTGTTCCATCGTACTATCGCAACTTGCTCTTGCCCTGAACCCTAAACCCTTAAACTTGGTAGACTCATTTTAAGAACTGTTCCTATTTGTCCAACTCCTCGCGGGAAAACTCAAGGTTAGCCTTTGGGACTGTATATCAAAGAGCTCCAAGGGTGAGATGAAGCTAGGTGGGGTAATCCCACATAAGAGTCCTCATATATAACGGATCCTTAATCCTACCTACCTTCATCCTACCTTTTCGAAAAGGGAATAAGGGCCTACTCTAGGTCCTAGTAACTAAGACCGTTCCTCAGGCGCTATTGTTCTGACTAAAGCCCGGTAAAGGGACCCTAAAGCCCAAATCAGAATGGGAACCTTCCAGAGGAACCCTGAAGCCGCACCAATTTCCATTCTGAAGGCTACGAAACCCTATACCCTGAACCCTCTGCATAAACTATAAACCCCTAAACCCTAAATCCTAAGCCCCGAAAGCCTAAAACCTCTAAACCCTAAACCCCTAATGTTAAGGCTACGAAACTACAGCCTCCGCGGCGCTTTGGTTCGCCTTTCTCTCTTCCTCCCACTTCTCTTTGGCCTGCGCGCAAAGTTGGCAGCCTAAGGTTTAGGGGTGATGGGTTTAGGGCAACACTTGCAGTTGGTGTAAGGTTTGTCTTTGAGGGGTGTTGTTGCGGCTTGCGCGGAAATCAACACAAGGGTTGCGTAGCGCTGAGAGCGAAGAAACCCTTCAGTAAACTTCAAGACCCTAGTCAGAGCAGAAACATGTGACGAGACTTGAACAAACAAACACCCTTTGCAATGATCCGAAAACACCCATCTGAATCCAATCTAGCCCTGGCAAACCTGAAAAGCCTGAACCCTAAACCGTAAACACAAACCCTAAGCACAAACCCTACACCCTAAACCCTAGAGACAAACCGTAAACCCTAAAGACAAACCCTAAACCCTAAAGACGAACCCTAAACCCTAAACACGAGCCCGAAACCCTAAACACGAACCCTAAATACAACAGCCAGTAACAATCAGTCAGAGTCAACGACATGACGTTGGCCTCTCGCTCAGGCCCCGAAGCCCCCAAGCCTTCCAAAATCCCCTAAATGAGGAATGTGCCTGAAAACATATGAGGGATCATAGGAGAACTTGAATTATATGCCTCAATGGAATATACCTGAAATCGTATTCGGGGTTCTAGGATAATTTAAGATGTATTCCTGCGTTGCGGGTTCAGGGACAGGGATGGGCCCGCAACACTGGCCTCCTTGTCAATCTGCGCACACATCGCGAGCTGCTGGGGGCCGCAGTAGTACATGTAGATCGGGATGGTGCAAAGAATGAACGAGGCCGAAAGTGCGTACCTCGGTTCCGGTGGGTATTGGTGGGGTCGGGGGGAGAGAGGGAGGGGGTGAAGTGGAGGATGCTTTTTATCCCTAAACCCAAAACTCTAAATAAACCCTAAACCATTAATTGATCTTATGGGGTGTCTGCGAGAATCTGCGGGACGAATAGTTGTTGACGGCTATATCCTTCGCAGCCTTGCACCTCATGCGGTCTTGGCTTGAAGAACTATGAACGTTGTGATAGCGATGGCTTCGACGACCACGTTGATGAGCTGACGTATGCAAACGACGGACCGAACAAAAACGACGGCGACGACTATGATGATGCTGCTGGTGGTAAAGACAGTGGTACTGTTGAAGATTATATGATGATGTTGATTACGATGATGATAAATAAATCTTGATGATGGTGATGACGACAGCAAGAAGATGACAATGTTGATGGTGGTCCTGATGACGATGACGATGGTGATGATGATGGTGATGATTATGACGGTAGCGTTGGTGGCGGTTGTGGTGGTGATGATGATGACGGTCATGCTGACGACGAAGACAATGATGATGGAAGAGAGCTGTCTCTTCCACAAGTAGTCAATCCCAATTTTCCGCATCATTGCCTAGACCCTGCCGTTTACAGAGTGGTTGTGCTTTTTCTGCTTCTCCTCGAGGCGACTACGACGGTCTGGGCTTCATGGCGATCGGTTCAAAGGTTTAACGCTCCGCAGAGTACGTAGGGTTTACTGGTTTGGGCTTGAAGGCTTCAGGCTACTACTACGTGCTCCACCCAGCACCCCAGCATGCATGCTCTAGTGCAGCTATGATAGGGAGCCCTATGTAGCAGTATGGGTAATTTACGACTCCTGTAGTGCCCCGTGGCTTTGTGTAATCACATGGCTCGCCGATGCACACGGTCACAGGTGTGAGAAACCACATGTTTCACAGCAGGACGTATCATGCGCATGGCCGGAATCCCTGAGAAGTTCTACAGTTTCTAGATTTTTGGAAGGGAAACCTGCCGGAACCGTGGCGGCAGCACTTTGTTTGGCCAACTGCTTGCAAAATCCGTCAAACCCTATACCTTCTGTACAGGCTTGCAGCGCAGCATTTGGATCCTTCTGGACACGGCCCCCACGAAAGAACCACCCCAAACCCAAAAGGCTAAGACAGCCCAAAAACCGAGCACAGGGCGGTTTAGGGGTGCCGTAAGCCAATTACTCAGTCTTTCAAACACTGCTCCTTTGGTGCCCAAGCTGCGGGATGACTTTGTAGCCATAGGTGGTTGCCTGTTGGGGGCTTTGGGGCTTTAGGGTTCAAGCTTAGGTTTCCAAGGTTTTAGGGTTTAGGTTTTCGGATTCTAAAGGTTTAGGGCATTTTGGGTCTAGGGTGTAGGAAAAGTTCAGCGACAGTGGCTTCAAAGTCCAGCAGCAAGGAACAAGCCTGCATGTCTACTCCTTCTTGTCAGTTGAAACCGGCTCCTTGCCCCACAAACCATGGGCCCTCAACCCTAAACTAAACCCCTCACAGTTCCTGACAGGTCCCCAATTTTCGGAAACTCCCACATGTTGCGGCCAGGAATGGTGAGGAGGAATCCGTCGGCCCATGACCGGGTGCTGGGACTTTTGGCTTAGTTCTGAGGGTTGGGCTGAGCGCACCTTCCACCATGTTTGATCCCTACGACAGGCACAAGTATAAGCGGTTTGCTATAATTCTGCAGCAAATGTAGGTTGACATGTCCGACTAAGGGTAAGATTGTTGTTCACGCCATTACTGCAGTCGTGTACTATGCTGTTTTCAACCAGCTCGAAGCCCGAAACTGAGCCCAAACTATCATCGCTTAAACACTTTGAGGCTGAAAATCCGAGCCCAATAGCCAATAACTGTAGACCGTTCATGTTGGTCATATATCTTAATAGATACCCCACAAAAGTTTAAAGGTGACCTGCTCAGCACCTGACAACAGAGCTCTTGGTTCCCCCTTGTCTTCCCCAACCCTGCATGCTCGGGCCTGTGAGGATAGTTGCGACTTCCCTGGAAGCTACCTCTTTTGCGGCAACAAGGAAACTAAACTAAGCATAATCCAGACCCTACAAAACCCTAAACCCTAGACCCTAAACCCCAACCCCTGAAACCTCAACCCTAAGATGAGTGCACTTACGAGCACTACCCCACTCGAAAACCAAGAACCAAAAGCCCAAAGCGCAAGGGACCAAAGCCCAAAACTCGATTCAGAAACACTCTAACCCTAGAATAACCTCCTTTGTTAAGGACATTCACGAGGAAATCATACTAAGGAGCCCTAAAAAGGTAGGTTCTCCAGGGTTAAGGTAAACCATGGCGATGCCGTCGGCCTCGGCGTAGAAGAGGTGAGGATAAAGCGCGCTGGTGACGGAACCGCACATAAAACCGATCCTGAGATGGACTTTGGGTTTAGGGTTTAGGGTTTCGGGTTTAAGGAGTTTAGGGTTTAGGGTTTAGGGTTTAGGAAGCGGCCCGTGAGGGTGTATAAAGCCCTTAATCAGGCTTTAAACGTTTTGGAAACAGGCGTTGGTCCGATTTTGGGGTTCACAGTAGCCAAGAAATCATTCGCATATAGGTGTATGCACTTTTTTACAGATCGATGGATAGATAGACAGATATAGACGGATTGATGCATGTGCTCTGTCTTCTTGAAGAAATGCAGGGATATTGCAGGAAAGCCTGGATTGCAAACGTCCTGAGCCCCATTCCTTCAGCAGCTCTGCCCAGAGCCTTCAAAACTCCTTCATGAAGGTAAAATGTCAACACATACGAGGGGAACCTCATTACGACTTCAGGTATGTCAGCTACGGGGTATTACGTAAATTAAGATGTATCTTAAAAGGCAGGATAATCCTAAATACGATTTCAGGTATGTTAGTTAAGGGGTTTCGAATGGTTTTGGGGGTCTGAAGGTTTATGACAGCAAGGGGTTCTGACTACTTGTGTTGTCCTTGCTCGGCCAAGCATTTGAGCACCCTCAACCGAGACTATACAATCCAGGCTCTCGCAAGTCTGACCACAGCTTTATAAGGAATTCATGAAATCACCATGCAGCCTTTCAGAAGCCAACCTTGAGCCCTTCCAAACCCACAACAGACACCTGAGCTACACTGGAATCCCTAAGGCCCTAAGTGCCGCCGCAAGTCAGTTGAAGCATAGCCTGGTACTTGGCGTTGTTCTCCTTGCCCACAGCAAAAGGTGTGGCGAGAAGAGGTAGACGCGGAGCGAGAACGACAAAAAAGGGAGAGACTGAGAGAAAGACACAGACAGAGAGAGAGAGAGAGAGAGTGTCTGTGTGTGTGTGTGTGCGAGTGCGTCGGTGTCTGCCTCTGTCTGTCTCTGCGTGAGCAGCTGCAAAGCATTTCTTTGTGGCTCCAGATATGTCTGTGTGTGTGCGCATACATACATTTATAAATACATATGTGTATATATATATATATATATATATATATATATATATATATATATATATATATATATATGTATATATATATATATGTATAGACATACATGCACATACATATATCTACATAAAGTGTATGTGGTCAATGTACGACAGTAGATGCAACATGCATATATGTATATGCATGTCTGTAAACGTATGCAGATGTGCATATATGCACCTTTAAAGAACCAACTACACTTATGCAACTACGTATCAAGACATCTTTTAAGAACAGTCTAGATGCAGACAGATCAAATACATCGCGACAGGTATTGATCTGTGTACGATGTCTCGCCGCCTGATTTCGAACTGAGCGGTAAAAGGTCCTAAACAATCTTGATCTTTCCACCGTTCAGCACTTAACCATCAAACCCCAAACTATCCCTAACCCCAAACCATAAAACCCCAATGCCCATCAAAGCCCTAGCCCCAAGACCCTAGACCCTAACCCCAAAATCCTGAGCCCCAGCCTTCAACTCAAACCAGGAGATCTTCAATCTTCATCCCCGAACTAGCACCTTAAATACCCTGAACCATCGGCGTCCTGCTGAATTAGGCGGATCTCCACACCTGCCGCATCGTGCTCTGCATCGTTGCGGTTAGGGTTTAGGATTAGGGTTTAGGTTTAACGGATTAGGGTTTGGGGTTGACTTGAACGCCGCACAACGGCATTCCTTACGCGGTCCTGTGAACCTAGCGAACAGCACCTGTATTGTACCAACCACGGCCACAAAAGCAACAGCAACAATGGAAAGAGAAGTTGCCGCAATCAAGCAGATAACGTTACGAACAGTTCTCGTGATGCGAATACCGCTACCGCATCATGATTCTCATCAGCACTATCCCAAGTACTGTGGCAGACGATTGCGAACCTTGCTAGCAATGGCTCTAATCAATATCATGCCCTGTCTAAGAGTGTATGGCCAGCTAGGCTAGTCACACAGACATAACCCTAGGGCTTTAAGGACTTACGTATTGAGCCTTCTTTGCACAAAGATCACAGTATATAAAGGCCTGTTGGGCTATTTTGTGCCCAGGGTAAGGTCTGAGGCCTACTTGTCGGGTATCATGGGGAACTAAAGGTTAACCTTTTTGGTTATATAGGGGTTTTATAGGGACGATACTACCCCAAAATAGTTAAAGGTGGCCTATTCTACTATATACTAGGGAGGGGTTTGAGAACAGATGGGCTCAGGGCTTTCGGGTTCAATTCAAGGCTCAACTGATGGCACTAAAGTAAGCCTCATAATAGCCCTTATAGTAATCCATATAATCCTCTCTAAAAGGAACCCTTAAAGGAACCCAGTCTAATTCTAAGGCCCTTATATGAAGTTCCGTTGATAGTACAGCAAACCCCTTAAAGTTGGAAACCGGATTAAGGACAATTAGTGCTGGGATTCCCGATACGTTACTCTTAAGGATTGAGGTTGTTGGGTTTCCAACTTTTGGGTTGACACTGTAAGGGTTTAGAACTTCGGCACTTCAGCTTTTGCGGTTTGCGGTTTCAGGCTCAGGATTTACCCATAGTCTCCGTTGTTTAGGATCCTACATACAGACATGGTTAGACCAAAAGAAACTACGAAGGTCCACTATATGTAGATCTGACATCAGTCGTTGGTTCATGTCTCGGGTGTAGCGGCGGGGTGTTCGTCCCAAACCAGTAGCCTCCGGACCCGAAGATTCACTCAGTTCACGGTTTAGGGTTTAGGGTTTAGGGTTTAGGGTTTAGGGGTTTAGGGGTTTAGGGTTTAGGGTTTAGGGTTTAGGGACTTCGGAAACACTCAACCGGGCACACTGAGCACTAGTGCTGAAGGTCATACTTGGAGGGGCAGGGGACTTAGTAAGTAGGTTATAAGTAGGGTTATACTTGGAGTGACTCCATTTATGGCACTTATAACTCTACTTATAACCTACTTACTAAGTCCCCTGCCCTTCCAAGTAGTTAAGGGGGTTGTCTGAAACCTGTACCCGGACCTGAGGCTTCAATCCCTTGACCCCTGAAATCCCTAAGATCCTAACCTCTAAAATCCTCTAAACCGCAATCCTCGAAGACCCAGCACGCTTTGATAGCAGCGCCCAACCCGAAACCCCGGAGCCAGCAAACCCCCAACTACCCTAAACGCTCAACCCCCTGAAGAACCTGCACCAAAACAATTTGAAAACCTCTTCAGGCCCTAGACAACACCAAAAAGCTCTATAACATCTAAACTCAATATCAAGAGCCCCTTTTCAAACCCAATAGAAAGGCCTTGTGCCACTGCTGGCCAGCCCGCCAGTGGCAAGTGGATGAAGGCACCCATGATGGGCATTGGGATCAAGCCAAGGAAGCGGATAGGATTCCTCCGGGTTTCTTGGGTTCTGCTTATTTTGCGTTAGGGTTCAGATTTGGGGTGTAGATGGGGCTTAGGATTCATGCTTCCGATTCCCAGAGTTTCGGCTCTTTGGGAAAGGGGAAAGGAGGAGTTACAAGCATGGCAAGTGACCAGAGTGGTAGCCCCCCAACCATGAAATACAGCTGCGGCCAAGTTGCATGAACGCGATAAGCACGGTAGTTGTCCTGCAAAGTGTCAAGTCATGCAGTCGCGGGATTAAGTTTACGAAGCCAGGGCTTGGAATTTAATTAGGGGTTGTAGGGTTTCTGGGTTTAAAGTCTGCGGCCTAGGATTTAGGGGTTGTATCAAAGTCTGCTCTGAGTCAGGCTTCGAGCCTACTTACTGCTAGGTCAAAAGCTCAGGACTTTCAATCTTAGCTGAGTGGTGAAGCCAGCTGTTTGCTGCTCCAGGCACTAGTCTCACCAAAGACTCACCCAACAGATGCCCAGACAATGATTTGTATCACTCTCCTGGTGCAAATACAGATTCAAGAACACCCACAAAAGTTTGGAAGAGAGCTTGACGTTTGCCCTCGGAAACAATGCTGGGTTCATGATTTTTGAGCCCACAGTGAGACAGTGCGGGAAGAACTCGATAATTGAAACACTGAAACACATATGACTTACAATCAGAAGCTAGAGACAAAGCAATGAATTTCACTTTTTCAAATGGAAACAGATTCCAGACGCTTGGCCAATGCCGCAACATCTTAGCACAGCAGAATAATCACAAACCGTCACAAACCTACAATACAGCGAGACTGACAATTTAACACTGTTCACATCATATGGGCCGTATGGCTGTATGGATCAGTATTGTCAACAAAGGCGACAATGCAAGGATAAACACAGTGTGATCATTGCTTTTTTTTTTTTGCTGAATCAGGTGTTGAATTGTTGAACGGATCCAAAATGTGATCGACTTGAATTTGAATTTTGAACACTACATTTTAGTCCGAAATTGGTCTGATAGCTGATAGACATCCTGCAGCTCGGCATGAAATATGCAACAACTTGCAACAACGAGAAGCTCGGCGCTGACTGAGTCTGCATGCCTCACAGTCACAGCCAGTCACAACATGCACAGTATCAGTATCCATACCGCACCTTGTTAACTTGTTAACATAGTGTAGCGTTGTAGCGGCGGACTGCAAATTATATCCTTCAACTGGCATATGGCTTGATAACTTGATAACTGATGTCAGACTGATGTCATGTCAGATCTACCATCTTAGACTCCGTTGCAACTTACTGCTTGATTGATTGCTTGTGGCATGTGGATCTGATACCTTGAATCACGCAATATCGCAATATCGCAATATTAGGGACTTGTGACGTTACCCTGGGCACTGGGCGTTTGATATGTGTTGATCTGTCGAGTCTGTCGACTACATGGCTGGCAAGGATCTGACCCTGACGCTGCAGCGACATGTACTGAAATGGACGCCAATTGGCAATCACCATGCGGCCATGCGTTGTAGTGTAGCAACATCAGTAACATCAGCATTATCATGTCTTCATGCCTTGCATATTGTATATTGCTCAGCGGTGGAAAGTGCGAGCCAGTGTAGAGTAGAGACAGCATGGTATGGACGTGGAGCACTGAGTATATGAATATCGCTAGCATGCCTTAGCATGACTGTTGTACATGGGCTCCATGGACCATTTGCAAGTGGCGGCTGACATGAACCATGCACACTGTGTAACGGAGAGCAGCAATCACTAATATATATATATATATATATATATATATTTATCGTTTGTTGTTGTATATGTAGAAACCAATTATATTGCACATGCATTATATACTTATCAAAATACTAGATACTAGAACGACAAACACTATGTTACAGCTTCTGGCGCCGTCGCGCTTGTGATCGACCGGCACGGTGACGGAGTTCTCATGGCAGCCGGTGGTGGTGACGGTCGGTGACAGTGGCCAGCTGGTCCGATAGTCCGATAGTCAACCGGTGGACCCGTGGATCAGTGTCAGCTCAGTACAGCTGAAGTGCTGCAGTGGCGGTGCAATGGTGCACTGGCGCACTGGCTGCACCAGCGGTGGTGGTGGTGGTGGTGGTGGTAGTGGTGGTGGTGGTGGCGGTGGCGGTGGCGGTGGCGGTGGTGGTGGCGGTGGTGGTGGTGGTGGCGGCGGTGTGCATTGTGCATGACGTCGGGATGCCGGCGATTGTCGATTGTGACTGAGATTATGGTTGTAGTTATACGTCTATACGTAGACCGTAGACCAGATTCGATAATTGACCTCACCGTCACCGACCGTCACCTCGATGCCGTCGTTCTCAGTGCCTGCGATGCGAAAGGCTGTCAGGCTGTCAGGGGAAGGCACTGAACGGACTGAACGGAGCCACCAGAGAAGTTGCTAGGCAATCACTAGGCAGTGCAGTGAACTTGAACTTGGAGACTTGCTGAATCACTGAATCACTGAATCACTGCACCACTGCTCAGCACGGCATGTTTTCCATCATTCCTGGCACGGGAGTTTTGCCCCTTCCCCCGGCTGCACAATCTAGCCCTAGCATGGCCTTTCAAGCACCCTTGTGCAAGCCAGCAACAGCATTGCCCTCGGATTTGGATTTGGATGCATCAGCATCCACCGCCTCCTCAGTAGTAGTACTTGGCTGCCGCTTCCGCTTCAGCTGCTTTTGCTTTGCCTCCAAACCATTCTCCATCTTCGACAAGCCTGCAACCGGTGACCGCCTCCGCTTGCGCTTTGGTGTACGGATTGCCGATTTGAAAACGGAAGGAGAACAAGCATCCCAGTCGGGGGTCATCATCGCTGCCGTCGCCTTGGATATGGTCGATGTGGACGCCGTGGATGCCTCTGGCTCGCTGCTCGATTTCTTCACTTCCTCTTGGTTTTGCGATCCCGGGCTTGTTAAAGAACGGGCTTCACTAAGGGTTCCTACCCACAAAGACTGTCGGACACTTTTGTTCCTGGGCACGGTGTGTCCTGGGGTCTCGAGCCTGCACGTCGCGTGTGCGTGACGGCTGTTCCTGTACATTAACTGTACTGCACTAGCTGTGTTACTGTTCCTGGCAGAATGTTTAACACCCCGCCTTCGGAGTTAGCGAAAGTTCCTCGACTGAGGTGACTCCGACTTTTCCTGAACAAACAGTAAACACGCTGCAGTTCCTTTTCACTTGCAAAACAAACACTGTTCCTCATTGCAAACGTATGCGCACGTTCACTCGCAATCCTCTCCAAGGTTGCTCGACTGTACAAAAGACGTTCCTGCACTTTACCTAGATCACCACAGAAACAAAAAGGGCTGTGCCACGGTTCCTGTGTCCTGCTGCTTCTTTCCTCGGCTCTCTGGCCTCAGTACTGCTCGCGGTTCCTTTGCTTCACTGGAAGTTCACTTTGCCTTCCTCTTCACTGTCTTTAGCTTCCTCTTGGTCTTGAAGCTGTTCCTTTAGCCACTCTTCTTTCATCTTTGCTTGCGCTTTGCACTTTTCCTTTCCTTGCTTGTCCTTTGACGCTGCTTTCCAACCTGTTTCCTTTGATCCTGAATACCAGTACCACTGTGTCTTGGCTTCGTTCCACTTCCACTGGTATTTCCTGTTCTGGAAACTGTAGACTGCAAACCAGTTTCCTTCAAACTCTCCTTTTCCTTTTCCTTTCATGAACGATGCTTCGTTCACTGGTCCTTTGGCGGACAGTTCTGGGTCGTCCTTGTCTTCTTCCTTCTGCTTGTGCTGTGTGACGTTCGGTGGCTCCTTTCCTGTTGCTTTTCCTGTTCCTTTTGCTTCTGGCTTCTCCTCTTCCTTTGCTGGTGTTGTGTCAGGTTCTGTGGGTGCCTGCGACCCGGCTGCTGATCCTCTGCTCTCAAGCTCCTGTGTAAGGCTTGCAATCCTTTCTTTATCCTCTTTGCGTTCCTTCATCATCTCCTTCATCATTTCTTCAAGCTTCTGGATCCTGTCTGCTTCACCTGATCCTGTTGCTGTTGTTGCTGCTGCCTTCTTCTCTGCTTCCTTCTTGGCAATGTACGCTGACGCTGCCTTTTGATCTTCCTCTCTTTTCTTCCTGGCTTCCTTCTCCTTTCTTTTCTTCTCCTGCTCCTTTCTTTCCTTTTCCTCTTTGGCTGCTGCGGCTGCTGCTTTCTCTTCTTCCTCCTTTGCTGCTGCCGCTTCGGTCTCCTCCTTTTCCTTTGCTTCTCTCTCTGCTTTGGCTTTGGCTGCTGCTTCTACCTCTCGCCTTCTCTCGGCGGCTGCGGCTGCTTCCTGCCTTGCTGCTTCCTTGTCTCTCTTCTCCTGCTCGTCTGCTGCCGCTTCCAGAATCAACCTTGCTTTGGCAATCTGCTCCTCTTTTGCCTTCTTCTCCTCTTCTGCTTTTGCTTTTGCTTCTCTTTGTTCCTTTGAGATCCTGTCCTGTTCTGCCCAGTATTTGCGATCATCTTCATCTCGAGGTCGAAATCCTGTGCTTTCTGCTCTTGCCTTTGGCTTTCCTTTTCCTTTTCCTTCCTTCTTTCCTTTTGTTCCCTTCTCGTGCTTGTACGTGTAGTCCTTGTCGACCCACTGCTTTTCTCCTGTAACTCTGTGTTGCCTGTAGATCTCGCCGTTCTCGGAGTATTCCTTCCATTCGCTGGCGTAGTCGTAGGGGTACGGAAAAAGCTTCTTCTCTTCTTCCTTTTCCTTGAGCCTTTGCTTGCTTCTGGCGTTGATCTCCGCGATCTTCTTCTTCCTCCTCTCTTCCTTTGCTTCTTCACTTTCTTCTTCCTCTGCTGCTGCTGCTGTTCCTTCATCGGGGTACTCCCCGGGATCTTCTCCTCCAACGTAGCTGCTACGTAGGCCTCGTTCTCGTTCTCGTTGTCCTGCTCTCGTTCCTGGATGCCCTCGAAGTAGCCTCGGTCCGAATATTCCTTTCTTTCCTGGGACGTAGGTGACGTAGCTCTCGACGGTGCTGTTCCTTGTCCGTGTCCTTCACGACGTAGTTCACCTTCTAGTTCTCGGTCCTTGGCTTCTCTTTTCCTTTGCTCTTCTTCGTCTTCTTCCTCTTCTTCTTGTTCCTCTTGCTGCTCGTAGAAGTCCTGCATCATCTGGTTCAGCTGTTCCTTCACGGCGTCACATGTGCCTAGGACGAAGGCCATGTGTTCCTTGACCTGTTGCCGGTCTCTGTCGTTCTGTTCGGCCATTTCCTGAACCTGGTGCTTGACGTCGTAGATTTGTCC